AGAGAAACGTTACTTAGGGACAGAGAAACGTTACTTAGGGCCACAGAAATGTTACTTAGGGCCACAGAAAATGTTACTTAGGGACAGAGAAACGTTATTTAGGGCCACAGAAACGTTACTTAGGGCCACAGAATCGTTACTTAGGGCCACAGAAATGTTACTTAGGGCCACAGAATCGTTACTGAGGGCCACAGAAACGTTACTTAGGGCCACAGAAATGTTACTTAGGGCCACAGAATCGTTACTGAGGGCCACAGAAACGTTACTGAGGGCCACAGAAAACGTTACTTAGGGCCACAGAAACGTTACTGAGGGACACAGAACCGTTACTTAGGGCCAACAGAAACGTTACTCAGGGACACAGAATTGTTACTGAGGGCCACAGAACCGTTACTTAGGGCCACAGAAACGTTACTCAGGGACACAGAATTGTTACTGAGGGCCACAGAATTGTTACTGAGGGCCACAGAACCGTTACTTAGGGCCACAGAAACGTTACTTAGGGACACAGAATTGTTACTGAGGGCCACAGAACCGTTACTTAGGGCCACAGAAACGTTACTTAGGGACACAGAATTGTTACTCAGGGACGGACACAGAATTGTTACTCAGGGACACAAAATTGTTACTCAGGGACAGACACAGAATTGTTACTCAGGGACAGACACAGAATTGTTACTGAGGGACACAGAATTGTTACTGAGGGCCACAGAACCATTACTTAGGGCCACAGAACCGTTACTCAGGGGGTACACATAATTGTTACTGAGGGCCACAGAACCGTTACTTAGGGCCACAGAAACGTTACTTAGGGACACAGAATTGTTACTCAGGGACAGACACAGAATTGTTACTCAGGGACACAGAATTGTTACTGAGGGACACAGAATTGTTACTGAGGGCCACAGAACCGTTACTTAGGGCCACAGAAATGTTACTCGGACACAGAATTGTTACTGAGGGCCACAGAACCGTTACTTAGGGCCACAGAAATGTTACTTAGGGACACATAATTGTTACTCAGGGACAGACACAGAATTGTTACTCAGGGACACACAGAATTGTTACTGAGAGCCACAGAACCGTTACTTAGGGCCACAGAAATGTTACTTAGGGGACACATAATTGTTACTCAGGGACAGACACAGAATTGTTACTCAGGGACACAGAATTGTTACTGAGAGCCACAGAACCGTTACTTAGGGCCACAGAAACGTTACTTAGGGACACATAATTGTTACTCAGGGACAGACAGAATTGTTACTCAGGGACACATAATTGTTACTGAGGGACACAGAATTGTTTACTCAGGGACAGACACAGAATTGTTACTGAGGGACAGACACAGAATTGTTACTGAGGGACACAGAATTGTTACTGAGGGACACAGAATTGTTACTCAGGGACAGACACAGAATTGTTACTCAGGGACACAGAATTGTTACTCAGGGACACAGAATCGTTGAATTAAAGAGTATGTCAGACAACATGCAGAGGAGTGGCAGAGGAGGCAATGTTTTTAGGAGCGAGCAGACGTGGCAGCAGAGGAAGGGGTCGAGGCAGCACTAGTCGCAGCCAGAGGCCAGTGCTCCCGGTGTCATCCAGCGGTCGTGTCTCCACCGCAACCCTGCCGTCATCGATTGGTTGGCTCAGGTCGTCTTCCTCTTCCCAGGTCACCTCTGACACCTACAGCCAACGGTCGGTGGAGTACGTCAGACACAACCGTTAGTTGGCATGGCCCGGGAGCAAGCCCACTGAAATCACGTGTCCTCTACCTGCCCCCTGTCCTTTGGTGTTCCCTCACCAAGCGAAGTATGCGCATGCTGTGGGCTCAGCCCCACTGTACATGAGGAAGAGCTAACAGAGGGCGGTCAGGAACGGGGGGGGAGACATCCGCCTCTTCAGCAGCCAGGCGAACAAGTACTGGCGAGGAGAGTGGCTCGGTAGCCGGTCTAGAGACAGGTCTGTCTCCTGAACAGACGCAGCCGAGGGGGCTAGTAGTGAGGCAGAGAGACCTACTTGATGATGAGGAGGTTTGATCGCACTTGGCAGCCTCGTTGTCATCAGGCAATTTCTTCCGCATCATCAGGAGAAGAGGGTGCCAGCTTGGCAGCGAGCGAAACAGTCGGTGGGTTGCCCAGGAGGCAGCAGGGTCGCAGCAGTGTCAGTGGAGCCAAACGGCCACGGAGTAGAGCACCAGCTCCACTGCAGCCTACCACCACGGCCAGTAGTGGTGCCAGTGTGCACGGAGGAAGTAGCAGTCAGCCAGTGAGGAGTAGCGGGGGCAAAGTTTCCTACTCGGCGGTGTGGCAATTTTTCGTCAAGCCGCGCCCGAGGAAGTAAAACGTAGCCGTATGTCGACTATGTGGCCAGAAAGTCAAGCGTGGCCAGGGGGCCCATGTTGGGACTACAGCGTTGCGTCAGCATATGCAGCGTCGCCATTTGGTGGCCTGGGAAAACCGTGATAAAGATACGGCGGTTCTGCCTGCCCCAGCCCCCGCTCCATCACCCGCTCCGTTACTTGCTCCGTCACCCGACGTCAATCGCCCTCTATCAGCCAGTCAAGGCTCCAACACCTCTGCTGAGGGGAGTTGTCGCTCGTTGGCATCTTCTGCTCATTCAGATGCTCCTTCTCCTGCTACTCCTCTTCACGGGATTCCGTCAGCAGTCTTTCTTGGAATCCGTTTCCAGAGACAACAGTTTGCGAGCACGCACCCGACGGTGCAAAAGCTGAACGTCCTCCTGTCCAAGTTGCTGGTGCTGCAGTCCCTCCCTTTCCAACTGGTGGACTCAGCACCTTTCCGAGAAATGATGGCTTGTGCCGCGCCGCGGTGGAGAGTGCCAAGCCGTCATTTCTTCGCCAAAAAGGCAGTGCCAACCCTGCATTCACATGTAGAAGAGATGGTGGGCCAGTCTTTGAGCATGTCGGTCTCTGCCAAAGTGCACGGCAGCGCCGACGTGTGGAGCTTTAACTACGGTCAGGGACAGTACATGTCATTTACGACCCAATGGCGTGTGAACGTGGTGCCGGTACAGCCGCACCAGCAACTTGGACAGGTCACGACGCTTTTGCCTCCACGTTTGCACGTCCTTGGTCCAGCAAACATGTCCGCCTCTACCACCTCTTCTTCCGCCGTGTCCTCAGCCGCCACCCCCGTGCCAAGTCCCATTACCCGACCGGCATATCACATGTGCAGGGCGCAACGGTGTCACGCTGTGCTGCACCTGGTATGCCTTGGCGAACGTAGTCACACAGGGGAGGAACTTCTGAGTGTAATGAACAGAGAAATCGACAGATGGCTGTCTCCGCGCAAACTGAAAATCGGAACCATGTTGACCGACAACGGAAAGAACATGGTGTCTGCTCTGCGTCAAGGAAGGTTGTGCCATGCACCATGCATGGCTCACGTGTTCAATCTGGTTGTCAAGCGGTTCCTAAAATCCACCATCCCACTGCAAGACATCCTTAAAATGTCACGTAAACTTTGCATGCATTTCAGCCATTCCTACAGCGCAAAGCACACCCCTCCTTGAGCTGCAGCGGCAGAAGGCACAGAACGGAATTCCACAGCATCGCCTGATCTGCGACGTTGCAACAAGGTGGAATTCAACCCTACACATGTTAGACCGCCTTTACGAGCAGCGAAAGGCCATCACCGATTTCCTGATGTTACAAGCGGATAAAGGTACTCCCCCCCAGCGTGTAACTTAGATGTCAGCCATTGGCAGCTCATGCGTGACACCTGCCGCTTGCTCAGGCCCTTTGAGGAGGCCACGCTATTCGTGAGTCGGCAGGACTATGGGATGAACGACGTCATTCCTCTGTTGCACGTCCTGGAACAAATGCTGTTAACAATGGCTGGTCAGGGTGCGGTAGACGTGGCGCACAGATCTCAACGCCACATGACCCCTTGTGGGGGCCAGGACAGGAAGAAGAGGAGGAGGTAGAGAGAGGACATTTGTGCTCAGGAATTATTGAGTGAAATGGGTGGTTTTTCCACTCAGCGGACAGGAGTGGAGGAGCAGGAGCATCTGGTAGAGGAGGAGGAGGAGGGAGACAGAGGACCCAGACGCACCGTGGCAGTATGCTGTGGAGATGGAGGCAGGGAGTCCCTCGCATTCCTTGGCACAAATGGCCCATAGCATGCTCGGTTGCTTGCGTAGCGACAGCAGCCGAATAATAACCATCAGACAGAGGGATGACTTTTGGCTGTCCACCTTGTTGGACCCTCGCTACCGTTCCAAAATGGTGGCCTTTTTCACACCTGCTGAGAGGGAGGCCAAAATTACGTACTATAAAAAACACCTATGTAGTCAGTTGGTCTCTGCCTTTCTGCGCCAAAGTCCATCCTCAGACACTGTGGGCCCTGTGCGCTCGCGTTCCGCTGCCATGGCAGCAGGGGAGGGGTGGGGTGGTAGGAGTCAGTGGCAGTGGCAGCTCCACCAGCAGCGGCTGCCTCAGTCTGCAGTCGATGATGAGTAGCTTTCTTCACCAGCGCAGTGAGGAAACTACTAACCAGCCGCAGCAGCAGCAGCAGCATCAGGTGGACCTGGAGCAGGAGCTCAAACAACAGGCTTGGGCCTACTTGGACAGCACCCTGCCAACCGAGGTAGACAATCCCCTTGACTACTGGGCAACGAAACTTGACCTTTGGCCCCAACTAGCTGAATTTGCCCTTGAAAGGCTGTCATGCCCGGCCAGTAGCGTGGCATCGGAGCGCGTGTTTAGTGCGGCAGGAGGTATTGTAACTCGCGGAGGACACGACTGCTGCTCCACCCAAAGTGTGGAGAGACTCACGTTTGGGAAAATGAATCAGGCGTGGATTAGTCTGGATTTCAAACCACCAGTTCCTGACACAACTGACTAAATCCGCCATGAATCATTGCCCCAAACATGTGCCACTTTCAGGTCTCCGCACACTGCTGCTGGGTTCCATTTTGTCATAGGGTGCTGGCAGATTACGGGCCCCCCATAGCTGCTGCCAGGCCCGTAATCTGCCATGGGCCCCCGTACCGCCTCCTCACGCTGCTGCAAGGTCCACAGTGTGTCATGCCATGTGCCACTTTCAGGTCTCCTCACACTGCTGGTGTGTTTCATTTTGTCATAGGATGCTGGCAGATTACGGGCCTCACATTGCTGCGGCCAGGCCCCTAATCTGCCCTGGGCCCCTGTACCGCCTCCTCACGCTGCTGCAAGGTCCACAGTGTGTCATGCCATGTGCCACTTTCAGGTCTCCTCACACTGCTGGTGTGTTTCATTTTGTCATAGGATGCTGGCAGATTACGTGCCTCACATTGCTGCGGCCAGGCCCCCTAATCTGCCATGGGCCCCTGTACCGCCTCCTCACGCTGCTGCAAGGTCCACAGTGTGTCATGCCATGTGCCACTTTCAGGTCTCCTCACACTGCTGGTGTGTTTCATTTTGTCATAGGATGCTGGCAGATTACGGGCCTCACATTGCTGCTGCCAGGCCCCAAATCTGCCATGGGCCCCCGTACCGCCTCGTCACGCTGCTGCTAGGTCCACAGTGTGTCATGGGTCCCTGTACGGCCTCCCATTGCTGCTGTTTCCATCGCCACACTCTGCCATGTGCCACTTTCAGGTCTCCTCACACTCCTGCTGGTTTCCATTTTGTCATAGGTTGCTGGCAGATTACAGGCCTCCCATAGGTGCTGCCAGGCCCCAAATCTGCCATGGGCCCCCGTACCGCCTGGTCACGCTGCTGCTGGGTCCACAGTGTGTCATGGGTCCCTGTACCGCCTCCCATTGCTCCCACTCTGCCATGTGCCACTTTCAGGTCTCCTCACACTCCTGCTGGTTTCCATTTTGTCATAGGGTGCTGTATGGCCTCCCATTGCTGCTGCCTCCACCGCCACACTGTGGCTCAAAACACTGGTTTTGGCCCCGTGACGGGCCAAATGAGTGAAGTGTGCGGTGATTCTAAGATCGACGGCACTCATCTGCATGTCATACTGACTGACAGTATTATTTCTCTTCCCCAGCAGACTCCAAGGGCATTTAAATTAAAGGTACAGTGTTCTGCACTAATATAAAGTCTCTCTGAAGCCTAGAAACACCCTTTTTAAGTTAAATTCACAGCGAATATATTCGACTCGAATCGATTTTTTTTTCCACGAATTCGCCGAATCAGTCGAATCGAATTTTTGAATACTTCGCTCATCTCTAATGAGGAACTGTATTAAAGGGTCACGGCATTAGGAAGGTTGAGAACCACTGTTCTATGGAATACCTTGAACCTCTGCTATGTAACTGTCTTGTTTACATACAGTTCTCCTCCCCATCAGAGATGCACATGACTCAGCGGGTGCCGACGACTAATCGCCAGCTGGGACACAGGGATTGACAGCCAAGGCCACGAAAGGTGACACAGCAAGGGGCGGGCGTGACCCTTTGCACACCATGCCACCCTGTAGCAGGATATATGCTATAGCACGGTCCGAAAGTGGTGGTTGCCATTTTAGCCAGTGTGTAGTCAACATGACAACAAATTGTCCTGGCCACTCAAACATTAAATGACTAACTGCTGTGGATTTTGACAAGAGAGTGGAGAGGGAGTAGAACTGCTGGCCAGTTTTGGCTGTTGTCTGTGTCACCTGTAGATTTAGAAAGAAAAAAGAACCTCTGCTATGTATCTAAATGTTTTTATTTTTCTTTCAGCCGATTAATATCTGGGGTGGAAGGCATGGCATGGACCCTGGGAAGCATGTTGTGATTAGCTGTCTGGCATCACAGGTGGGTTTTGAAAAGTGATCTTAACAGTTGTTCCAAAATAAAATAATAAACATGTAAGACTTACCTGCTCTGTGCAGAGGTTTGCCACAGAGCAGAACAGATCCTTCATTTCATTGCTCCCCCACCAACAGTCCTTGGCCCCCATCTTCTGTCCAGTGCCCCCAGAACAAGCACCTTGTTCTGGTGTGAGCCCAAGAAGACTCACTTATGAGCCATGGAGCCCAGAGAGCAGAGCTTTTCAAGCCCATTTTCAAGCCCATCAGGGACACAAGATGGAGCTCAGCTTCAAGTAAGCATTAGTGTGTCTGGGGGAGGGAGGACCTTGTGCCTTTCCAAACACAATAATTGCTCCAAGGTTTACTTCAACTCCTGAAATAGTAAAGAATGAAAAAGACACTCTAGCTAGCCTGCACTGAGAAGTGATTGTCATGATGAAATGTCACTGATTCTTTGCTCTTATTTTACAGGAATGGTCCTGTTTGCGGTTCAAGCTGGCAGAAAGCTACATGTTGAGAAAGCCATCTTCATGTCCTCCACTCACCTTCATTTGTAGACAGTGGATATTTTGTGGGCACCAGCTAAGAACTGGCGTCAAGGACCTGCAGAAACACCCTGGAATGCCAGAGGTGGTTTGGAAGCAGCACAGCAACTTGACCATCCCTTTCCTCTATGCTGCTTTTGGGGGTGCATAATTGCTTCTCGTTCCTGAATGAACTTGCAACGGATATTGGAGTCCCCATATTTTCCAGATATGTTTGAGCCAAGTGCTGGCAAAGAGTGGAGCCTGTTTTTGGTTTGCCAAACAATTGGGAGCTGGCAGCCATGTGTATACATTAGGCCATGTATTTTCCTTTTTTTTTGTCAAATAAAGACTATTTTTGTTCCTAAAAACAGTGTCATGTCCTCTTGATTCTATTTCCTAGACTTAAGATGGCCAGATAATATGCAATCTGATGCTTAAAAGTCATTTCATTTTCCTTAACATGTAGCTAAAGTCTGTAAAAGGAGGACCTACCGGAACTATGCATTCATCTAGAGTGGGCCAGGCCCATACAGTACATAATGGAGGTTTGCCATGAAGGAACATTCACATTTGGATACCTGAGCTCATGTGGTTTGGGTCCAAATATTTCTGGTCATTCAAGATATTCTATAGAAGAAATTATTGTTCTTCCAAACTATACAGGTGGCACAGACACAAGTATACACCCAGGGCCACTGTTAGATATCACAGGGCCCCATACAGCCTACCTGTCACCCCACCACCACCACCACCACCAGAGTAAATATCACAATTATATTTATGGTAAAAATACACTAAAAACTTTATTATTATATATGGACACAATCCCAACAAAATTCCTGTTAAATCTAAATGATAAAACTGTACTGAGTAAATAAATAAAGCTGTGTGTGTAAATTGAGGTCTTGGGGCTCATTCACATGGGTGCTGTGGCCTGTACAGTGTGAACCAGTGGTTTGTTTTTGTGGCTGTCGCCACTTGGAGCAGTTTGCATGAAACCGATGTTACACTATGGAAATGCTGCAGGTCCTAATTTGACCGGTATATAGGTACGGGTGTGCAGCCCTGAATTCAGACAGTGAGCATTCAGGGCCACTTTCCCACGCCTGCACGCCTGTACGATGAAAACCTGTGTTCATACAGCTGCTGTGTCCCCATAGCCACATGAACAACCCCCTCATTCATGCTGTACAGGCCAGAGGACCTGTGTGAATGGGGCATTTTTGACAATTTTTTTTCCTCAGCCCATTAATTTCAATGGGCTGCCTAACACGTTGGATCATGCAAAAATACTGCAGGCATATTATTTTAAAGTGCGTTGCACCTAACCACACAGTAGTAATTTGGTAACATGCGTTTTGGTTTCTGTGAATACATCTGTGTTTACTAGTTGTGTATCGGTGCAATGAATTTTTCATCATGGTGCCTGCGCACATCTGCAAAGGGCATTGCGTTTCTTTACTGTGCAGGAAAATGTGTGCTCTTGCATGCGTTCCCTCCCCACAAATGGTGTGAACAAGTGCTAAGGGCTGATTCACACTATGGAAACGCATTCTAGATGAGTTCCAGATGTGTTTTTGCATGCACATTTTTGATGCATATTTAGCCTGCTCTGGTGCATTTTGGACGTGTTCAAGTGCATTTTTATGCATTCCAGATAATTTTTCACTTCTTTTTCTTCAATTTAATTAGAGACATGTGCATTTTTGGTGCATTTTACCACGTTCCAGTACAGTTCTGTGCAGAAACAATGCAGCCTGTTCTACTTTTTTTTGCTGCACCTGGAACGCACTGGAAATGACATTGACAACAATATAACCTCCTTTGTGTGCGTTTTGGATGCAGAAAAAAAGCCAAGGAAACGTATGTAGTGTGAACTGGCCCTAAGGGTTTTAAAAGGTAAGGGAATGGGACTGACCAGGAATTGTGAATGCAATCAGACTAGTGGTGAGATACAATCAGGAATCTTATAATAATGCGAGATCTGAGCTGGAGGTGATAGGAAATGAGACACATTAACAAGATCAGTAAATAAATAGTTAAATAAAAAGAGTTAGGCGCAGGGGAGGACTGACAACTCATGGGGCCCCCAGGCAATAGGGGATCATGGGGCCCCTGTGTCCTTGCCAGGGGTGGACTGACAACTCATGGGGCCCCCGGGCAATAGGGTATCATGGAGCCCCTGTGTCCTTGCCCAAACTCAAAAAAGCCTATGAAAAAGGTACCAGGGGCATCCCATGGGGCCCCCTACTGGCCCGGGCCCTCCGGCAGTGCCCGAGTTTCCAAATGGTCAGTCCGCCCCTGGTCCTTGCTCAAACTCAAAAAAGCCTTTGAAAAAGGTACCAGGGGCATCTCATGGGGCCCCCTACTGACCCCGGGCCCTCGGCAGTGCCCGAGTTTCCAAATGGTCAGTCCGCCCCTGTTTAACATCCACAACACTGAGCCACTGTGTGATAGAATGACAGGGGACACAGAATGGGATTTATCAGCTGGAGATGGGCTTGTCAGCGCCCCGAGCCCCCCTTATCAGCGGCCCTAAATACACCAGTCAGCTCTTGGACTCCCTCTCCACTTTCTAGTCTGTAGCCAAAATCTTAATTGATTGATCAATATTCCTGGCATTGGCAGAACCTTGGCGATTGACCTCCAAATTTTGGGCCTTCAAAATCTGTAATGTCAAGGAGCTTACAATCTAAGGCCAGAAACTCAGACATATACTAGGCCCAATTTACTCAATTTTTTTTTTACATATTGTCACCAGTGCAGTACAGCGTCATCATATAACTGGCATGGCGGTGAACAGGGACACTGACTGGTGACAGTATGAAAAAAAATATATATATTTTTTTTAATTTTTTTTTTTTTATATATTTTTATTACATTTTTTTATTATTTTTTTATTACATTTTTTTTCATATTTCACTGTGACCAAAGTAGTACAATGTTACCATAGTAACATTGTACTACTTTGGGGAAGTGATCAGTATTTTTTTTTTTTTTACACAATTTGCTTATAGCAAAGAATTACTTTGCGATAAGCAAGCATTTACCTGAATGACATTGATTCATTCAGGGTTTTTTTTTTTTTTTTTGTGCTTAGCTGTGATTTGGCCACAGCTAATCAGATGACATGCGCATGTGATTAGCTGTGACCATTCACAGCTAGGCACACTAGTATACAATGGATGGCATGAATGAAGCCATCCATTGTATACAACTGTCATGTGACCTGCTGTGATTGGTCACAGCAGGTCACATGGTACCGGCAACGGGCCAATACTCAGATCTGTCATTGGCCGTGTCCGAGGTACATGGCCGGGGACAGATCGCGTCGCTGCGCCGCTCTGCAGGAGCGCAATCTGTGCATATGGCATCCACCCGGAACGCTGATGACATTTGCCGCCCGCCATTCGGCCATAGGGCGGGCGGCAAATGGTTAAAATAAAAAGCACACCTACAAGTATTCTCATCTGGTGGACAAATAAACGCGAACGGGACACAGCCCGTGCTTGTGCGCCACCTAGCGACCATATCCGTCATTGCTCCTAGAAATGTGTCTAAGCTGCATTCGTATTTATGAAGGGAATCATGTCTATAAGATAGATTATTTTCAATCAGCTTCCTAGATGCTTTTCTGAACACTGAAAGGTCTTAAGTGATTGAATTGCTTCTGCCTCAATGTTCAGCGTCTGCTTGTAGACTCAATTCTTAGTAAATCAGGGCCTAAATATCTGCTCAATCTCTCAGAAATTGTGGCCTGTTCAACGAGGCTATCTA